TTAAAAAAATTTGACTGTTGTCTGGGCACAGAAGGGAAACCTTGGAAGTTGTTATTGATTGAGAGATTTTAGAGTGAAGATCATACAGACAATTCAGTGGATCACGATGGTTGATACAATTAGTCTGCTTTTCCCAAAATTTTTAGTCGGAGATCAGGGACCTGGCTTCAAACACCCTGATTTCCACATCATTGGCCATAAGCTCTAAAAAAGAATAAAACTGTTGTAAAATACTCAGCAATTGCACCTGCTGCTCCTGGCGTACACAAACTCAGTACTTCAGTTCGCGTCTACTATTGTTCTGCCAAAACAGGATAACAGCTCTGTTGTGGGAGCGAATCTTATTGCCATCTATGATGAGAAGAACATCTGATTGATTTGAGTTCTGTAAAACATAATCAGAAGGTACGCTGGTGCATCAGCTGATTGCCTTGAGGAAAGCAGGGTCCCAAAGACTGCTATGAAATGCACAGAAAGCATAATTAAGTCCATTAAGCTTCAGGTGAAGGAGTCAAACAAGGTCTCTAACAACTGTCTGACAACCACAATGGGCTCTTGCAATCAGAACAAGATCTGAGTAAGGCAACCTCTGAAACAGAGCTCTCTGAGCAGAGGAAAAGTCAAAGGCCCTCAGCTGGGAAATGGGACTCAGCAGAGCAGTGGGTGAGGGATGCGGGATCTTTATATTGTAAAAATATTTTTCTAGATGTAAGTGAGTATTATGTCTACAGATTAACCTTGAATGCACACTGGTTACAGTAGCACACAGTTCCCAGCATAGACGTTCTAACTGGATAAATAAAAAAGACTGTAACATCTTCTATTGTTTCAGAAATGAAAATTCACCTCTCTCCACCAGTACAGGTTGATAAGGCAGCCTGTACACTTGCCCTCCTCATCTCATGGAAGGCCACTGTAACAATTAAGGAAGAAAAAAATCTAAGGGACAACTGGTAAATCATATGACAGAGGAGCAAACCCACGTGGAAAAGGAAAGGGCAAATTAAATCAGCAGCTTAAGGCAGCCCTACAGAAGGCAAACTATATTAAGCAACTTAACGCAATTTGTTCCCAAAATGTAAATGGAACCACCATTCAGCCTCCTTATCCACAATAACAGGTACAATGAGACTGATTTCCAATGATTTCTCAAATAAGTGCCATGTCCATCACAGAATTAGTCCCTAGGGACTTCATAAGGGTACTGATATTAACTCACTTCAACTGTGATTCCTGCCCTGAGGGCAAATAACATAATTGCACTGCAGTGTACATTTGGCTTCTGCTTGCTTTTGCTCAGTTTGCATAGTTCTGCACTTTCCTATTGTTTCTGTAGTACAAGATGTCACAGCACCATTTTGATGACATGTCTGAGTATATCAAAGGCCAAGGGAATCCTGTAATGTAAACACATCATTTATTACTATGTACAGCAATGATTACCTGACATCAAACCCATCTAGAAGCATGCTGTGTGACTGCGAGTAGGCGGCTTCCTGTTAAAGAGCCCTATCGATTGACAGGAGTATGGAGAAGAGACAACAAAAGGGAAGGGTGTTTTGTCAATATCTCCAGCACTGTAAGGAACGGGCCTCCTATTCAACATACAACATAAACGTGGATATTTTCCAGTTCTCAACTCCTCTAAAACTCTGACAACTTCCTAAAAAACCATTCTCTTAGGAGCCAAGGAACACAGGGCAATAGCTCTGCTCTGCCTTGCTTATTAGCACTAAAGTTTAAGGCTAGAGGATGCAGCATCCTGTGGCTGCTGGTAAGGGAACAATGGACTCCCTGTCACGTGTCCCTTGGCTCTTTCCAGGCAGAGAGCTATGGGATGTTGACCATCCTCTGATACAAGTGACTAATTTAGAGAAGGTGGCCCAGGGAGCCCAAAACCGGATTTATCAGGGCATGCAGGAAAACAAGCCACTGCAGCATTACCAAAAGAACTTCCATGGAGATTCATGGGGTGGAGAGTAAAAAGCATAGCTGTGCATCTGAATAGTTGAGCTACTCTTCACTGCAATCAAATTCAATTTCACCGATGTGACAGAGAAGAGGTATGAAATATTAATGATCTGTGCTGGCCTAAATGGTTGTTAGATGTACGCAGACACATTGTATTCTAAAGAAAATTGTATGCAAACATAAAAATGTTCTCATTGCATTTGAGGGGCATCTCAAGCAGGTGCTTACATGGTCAGTTCTCATACATGTAAACTGGGGCAGATATAGCTTTCTCTTTTCTCCTGTTTGGCTGTATGTAGTGATTCCCTCCAGACCCAGTATTTGTCTTGCAAATCAGAAGAATGAACTCTCGCTCACCGACACAGCGGATTCTCACAGCCATACCTTTTGCCATTCAACAGTTTCTGGAGCTGCTTCTGTTTCTCCACACCTGATGCTTTAAGCTGGAAAATGACTTCATGGGGGCATTTGGAGGCACCATCACTTAAAGCAAAACACTTTTTTTTTCTTCTTTTTTTTTTTTTAAAGTCTGTAGACAACAAAAAGAAAACACAGAATATAAGTTATAAGTTCCTGTGGAAGGAAAATAATGCAGAAATAATACCTTTAGAAGAAACAGTTTTGATAAATAAATTTCACCTAGAACCAAATTTTCTGTGAGCACAAGGATATGATGTCAGATTTGCATGTAAAACAGGTACCACATCTGTGTAATTTCAATGAACTTGAATAAAAACAAGAAACAATATGTATCCAAAATAATTTTGCTTGCAGGTTAGACATGAAATTGTTGACATATTTAGTAGCTGTTTGCCTGAAGATCTGACCCACAAGTTGTACGTCTTTCAAGCAGAAAGAATAAGAGAGTATGAATTAAAAGATGAAGCTAGTATGAAAAAGTATCTGCTGAAAACGTCTGTCAGAAAAACTCTTCTTGGATACATTATTTATCTATAATGGAATATATGGTTTTTCATTTCAAATCTTCTGTTTTATGAATGGAGTTTGTAAAGACATCTTAGATATTTAGACGCTGAAGTTTCAATGCTCTTACATTCATTGTTTCTGGAATATACAAAGAGAAGGCACTATTATTTTAAAATATTTTTAAAATATTTGACATCTAATGCAGAAGTTTTTGTCATTAAATAATACTTAATGCAGCCTAGATATACACTTGCTGCAAAGGCTGCTCAGAAAGATAACTTTGGTCTGCTTTGACTCACTGCAGCCTCAAGTTTAGCCAGAGGTCAAGGCGTGTTGGACTCAATATAGCTTTACAAGGACATTTCTAGGAACCGTACAGAGGAGCTGAGGGGACTTAGCATCTGGAAAGGGAGCGCTGAGGAGTCACAGGCAATGAATCTAGACTTAAGGACACTTGAGACAGACTTACAACTTGTGCCTTCCAGACCTGCTCAGCAGAGCTTTGTGGAGGATGTTCAATTTACCTAATTCTTGAAACAGGCTTCCCAAGAGATTGCTGGCTTGGTTCATCCATTATACTATTAGGTCTCTGGTTGGAGTGTGAAGGAGTTGATGAAGGACCAGGAAAACAGGCAAGAGCAAGTTTCAAACTTCCATACCTCATCGAGTTTGGTCCAAAACAGGCATCATTTCTGCACTTGACATTACTTTTAACTCTTAGGGTTTGAAAAATTTACATCAGCTGCTTGAGAGGAAATTGAAATTCCTGGAGTTACATTACTGGTTTGAAACTGCCCAGAAATTCCCATTTATGCAAAAGTTTAATTCCTTAGAAAGCTAGTTAATATAGCTTCTACTGACCAGGTGTTGGAGAGAAGAGACAAGGCCATACTGAAAGAGGACACTGTCCTTTAGAGACAAACAAAACATGGCATGATTCCTACTCAGCAGAAATTTACTAGACCATGTGCAGACAAGTTGAGGTAGCTCAGCATCTGGAAAGGGGGAGCTGAGAGGCCATGTGCAATGAATCTAGAATCCTTCACCAGATTCACAAGGGAAGCTTTAAAAATAAAGTTTAACTACATAAAAGGAGGTTCAGAACAATAAAGAGAACCAGAGGAACAAAGAGCATGATCAAGGGTACAGCTGAGCTGAGATGAAGGCTGGAACAACTCTCAGTGCAATGTGAGTTTCAAATTTGGGGCCCAACAGGGTAAGAAATCAGGAAGATTCCAACATATATGAGGAATATGTTCAGACTGCAGAAAGGAATTTTTCAAATAGGTTTCAAATATGGGCAGTAGAAATGAGAGTTCAGAGGGAACAATAAAAGTATCTCAGGTAACATTTATGGAAGGAATTGGTGAGAATTCTGGCAAGAACAGAAAGGAAAATAGTATTTGTTGGTATTGAGCACAGAAACAAGGCTTGATGAGAACAAATTCAAAAAAAAAAAAAAAAAAAGAGAAAAAAGAAGGAAGACAAGCTCAAGTATATACAAATTCTCAGATGGAGAAGACAGCCTTGGAGGATGGAGAAGCAACATTATTTGGCCCTGACTGTGAACAGAATTGGCAAGCCTGGACTAACCGGAAAGTGTCTTGGGAGATCTGCCTTCTATTTATTTTCTTCTGTGGACTAGGTTTTGCATTGTGTACTCTTTGCTCAATGTGTATTGGTTATTAGTGCATTCCTTCTGAGCTATTCTTAACTTCTGAAAGGGACTGGTGTTAGTTTTGTGAACTTAAGCTACAACTGTTTTACAACCTGAAAGCTATACAGAGAGCAACAGGAAAATCTCTGAGCACTCAGTGGCTTTCCTTTTTCCAGGCCTTCTCCAAGAAACTGCACTCAAACCATCCCAAGCTCAGCTGTAACTTCTTTCAAACACACCTTCAGTCACCAATAGTAAGATACTCCACTCTCTCATTCCTTTGGGCAGTGTACAGAGACTGTATTCAGTGAGAATACTGCATCTGCTACCCTTACGCATTCTGCAGTCCTCCGATAAGTTTACTACTATATGTAGGCTTCTACAAAAGTAATGCTTCCCTTTATTTCCGTGAAAACTACAAACGATACAAAGAGCACAATAACATTGTTTGATAAAGCAAGTTTGCAGCTGCAAATCACTATTTTTCAATATAGTCTTTAGCTATGCATTGTTGCCAGCAATGAACAAGAGCCTGCATATTGCACTTGTAACAATCTGTACCAGTGGAGGTGATGAACTGTCACTGTAGCCACTGTTGAAACACACCACCCACTCCCTCACTGCGCTTACATCCACTGCTTGGGCTCCATAAAAGTTCAGCAAGAATCAGTGAATGTCAATGGGTGCCATTTTTTCCTCATAGAGGAATTCGGTTACACATCTTTGCTTCATCCACTTTCATGTCAGACTGCCCTTTTCTGCCATCTGTCTCATGGCACAACATCCATCTCTGACATCATGGGCCAACATAATAAAGTAGGGAGCACTATTTTCAGAGCAGCATTCGTATAAGATTCTTGGGTCAGCTCAGCAAGGTTATATTGCCCTCAAAATATAAGCAAGACTCTAGTTTCATAAATGAAGGGGTTAGAAATTTCAGAAAGTGATTGTCCAAAGGAAGATCTCCCAGAAGAGAGAAATTCTGTTCTGAGATGGGACACAGACATTCATAAGTACTAAGGGCCTGGAATTAGTCATCACATACAGTATGAGTAAGACTCTGGCAGAACAGTAAGTCTGGCAATCCGTAAACTTCCCCCTTTTTGCCACTATAAACTCATTTCTCCCTGACAAATAGCTTTTGAATCAGCATAATTAAAGTTAGCATTAAAGTTAGCATAATTAGCATTTTTCTTGCACAGGCCTAAGTGCTCTAAGAAAACAACGCAAAGAAAGTGGAAGTAAAACTTAGTAGTGAGATGTAAAGGATGCTAATACACAAAGTTCCTTTGATATTTACTCTTCTATGTCTATGTCTGGAGCAGGGTGATGCTTTTGTGATATATGCAGAGATACGTGGAAGATACCATGCAGAATCCTGGCCTCTCAGCAGAAAAAAAAAATAAACAATAACAACAAAGATGGTTAGGAAGGTTCAGGAAATTAATTTACTCACCAAGAAAAGAATACCCAGCAAGTTTCTAAGAATGTAGAATAAACTGGGGCAGATTGAAAAATTGAAATGTTGTTACTTGGGAAGTAAGGCTCTTATAGTACTTTTAGATATGTATATCATAATATTCTGCTTCAAACTAAGCTTTTACTTACTAAGCAATTAACTAGTTTAGGCTTTCCACTGCTCAGTCACTCATACCAATGTGTTCTAGCAGTGTCCCTTGCTTTTACAAAGCAGAAAAAATAAATCAAACGAAATAATTCCTGGGTGTTCCACTGCAAAAATATATATGCCACTTACACTTCTCTTGGAAGTTGGAGAATGCTTCTTATAAACAAATGTGAGATGAATTGTTGGAAAGAATGAACTGAATTTATGCAACTGAACAATACAAGAAGAAATTTTCAAAAATGACGTTTTTGAAAGAGATCTTTTGATGTTTGATTAAAATGTGGGAACTTGTACCAACAAATAAGTTTAATTAGAGCTACTTAAATACATAGTCTGTGCTGATTATTCACGTGCTGCAGTATAATGGGAAACAAGTTCAGCTCTGTGGAGAACAGGAATCCTGAACAGTTCCTGGACAAACCATAAACCATAGAATTGCTGCAAATGAATATTCTTTGCTAGAACAGAAATATCCACATAAATGAGATAATATACTGAGGCAAAATAAGCAGCACTTATATGTTGCAAATATGCAAACAGAGAAGTAAACATATGTGGTTCTAAAATCAATTGCAAAGAAATTTATTGCAGTCAGTATCACCATGACTATTGTGTGCTCTCCATAGAATCAGTCCCTATCAATTCCAGATCAGCTTCTGAAATTCTCATGACATCTCACCTGTGGACCTGAGTGACCCATTAATAGATCCATCAGCTTCCTGGAGTGCCCTTCCACATCCAAGAAAGCTGTCCTATTTCTGCAGAATGAGAAGGTAGAACATCAAGAGTGCTACTGGTACTGCAGTAAAGAGTAATAAACTCATATATTTAAGGTGGAGCAAACCAAAGAAAGAACAATCTGAGTTTCTGAATGAATTCTTTCCAGCAGTATTCCAACACTGTTAGAAAGATAATGTGCTGTGTCTTGGCAAAGGGCTAAAAAATTAGCATTATATAAATAGAGAGACCCAGAAGAGCCACTGGGCCGGAATCAGTGAAGGCAGCAGGAATTTCCCCCAGATTGCAACAGACTTGGATCATGCCTGTTGTTGGCATGGACATGCAGGGCCCGTAAAACATTAGAAAAGTGAATTTTTATTAAACAAATTATCTCAAGACATTGAAAACACATACAGTACTCTTTGCTATTTAGTTTTTCTTTTACTGGAAGCAGTAAATGAGAAACATTTCCTGCACAGTTTATCGAATGTGTTTGTGCTTAGTGCGTAAAAAGGATATGCAGCAAGGTAACCAGGGCCTTTTATACAATGCTATAGACCTTTAGGGAGCAAAAGTGAAGAGGAAGAAAGAAGAGACA